ATATGGGCACAACCCATTTATTTGCAAAAAATTACATGAAAATGAGGAATTGGAGAAAAATCTACATGAGAAGGAGGTGAACACAACAAGTGATCTTTATGTGGATGAAAGTCCTACCTCTGAGCAGATTTGCAACGAGACCAAGGAGAAGGAAACTGATGAGTTGGGTGACTTAGTTGAGCTTATGGATACGGTAGTCTGGGCTGAGGGAGCTGCATTGGCCCAGGAACCGGTGGCAGAATTTGTATCAGAAGTGGCACATAAGGAGACTGAAACCGTGGAGCTTGTGATGGGGATCAGGGAGGAGGTGGGAACAAGGCCTACGGCAGATACTGCTCCGGAATCCGCACCCCCCATCTCACTGGGAACTACCATGCCCACGGTGGTGCTACCTCCCAAACCACCAGTCAAGTACACTTTGAGAGTCCGTGTGGATAAGGATGGGAAGAAAAGCTTTGTTAGAATAGATTAGTAATGCATCCATTATGAAAACTATGATTTGGTCTTTATCTAGGGGCTTGTCCTGATATCTTCATACCTAGAGCGTTTGGGAAGTTTATATCTAGGTTAGTTCTTCTAGCTTAGATAGTTTGTTATGATTTCGTGGACACATTGTACGATGTTATTTTTGGGTGTTAATACAATTACCTTTCATCCAAAAATTGAACATGATTGTGTTTCTTGTCGTTTGGGTAAATCTCAGCGATTACCCTTTTCAGATGCTAGTCATAATTCTACTTCTCCATTACAGTTAATTCATTCTGATATGTGCCAATCTCCAGTTTTATCTAATTTAGGTTTTAAATATTATGTGTGCTTTATTGATGACTTCTCTCGCTTTACTTGGATTTACCCATTGCGCACCAAACATGAGGTCCTTTCTCAATTTCGTCTCTTTAAACTTTTAGTTGAAAATTTATTTAATTCTAAAATTAAAGTTTTTCAGAATGATGGAGGGGGTGAGTTCGTTAATTCTTCTATGCAACAATTTTTGGCCGAAAATGGTATTTATTTTCAAAAATCTTGCCCTTATACTCCGCAACAAAATGGTGTTGCTGAACGTAAACATCGCCATCTTTTTGAACTTGCTCGGACTATGCTTATTACAGCTTCAATTCCTAATACTTTTTGGGTGGATGCTATTTTTACGGCTGTCTATATTATTAACAAACTACCCTCTCCTACTCTTTTTGGTGCTTCACCATATGAAAAACTATTTCACAAAATTCCTGACTATAGTTTGCTTCGTGTTTTTGGGTGTGCTTGTTATCCGAATTTTTCTGCTTCTTCTTCCAACAAATTGTCACCACGTTCTGTTCAGTGTGTTTTTCTTGGCTATGCATCTGGTTTTAAGGGGTATCGATGTCTTGACCCCAAATCTGGCAAGGTTTTTATTAGCAGGCATGTTCGTTTTCATGAAAATATTTTTCCATATGCCACTTTGTCTTCGTCTACGGGTCATTAATCTCCATCTTCTTCATCTATTCCCGACGATTTTACCCTTATCAATACCACACCTCACTCTATGCCTCCAGCCCCCACCATATCTCTTCCATCACCCACTGAACACTCCAATACAATCCCCACGCCCTCAGCTCTTCCTACTTCACCGGGGCAAACCAATGCTCAAACACCTCCCTTCACACCAAATTATAATTGCCGAACCCCATCAATACCAAGCCCTCACCCGACTCCACCTCCGGGCACTCCCTTATCTGCCTCTCGGTCTGCAACTCCTTCCCACAAATCAGATGCGCCTGAAGCAGTCTTCACCCGTCCTGATAATGCTCCAAGTGTGCAACCGCAGCTACCGGCCAGTGCACCAGATACATCTTCCTCTGGTCCGCTGGCTAATTGTCACCCAATGCAAACTCGGGCTAAGTCGGGCATTTTTAAACCCAAAATGATTTTTATATTAAACACAGTTGTTTTATCAGACGATCCAACTTGTTATTCAGAGGCTAACAAACAGTTAAAATGGCGTGAGGCAATGGCGGAGGAATTTCATGCTCTTATTTCTAATAATACTTGGGACTTAGTTCCGTTTGATCACATTAAAAATGTTGTGGGCTCTAAGTGGATTTATAAGACTAAGTATAATTCTGATGGCTCTATTGAGCGTCACAAAGCTCGATTAGTTGCTCAGGGGTTTAATCAATAGGCAGGTGTGGATTTCTCTGAAACTTTTAGTCCGGTTATTAAACACACCACAGTTCGTATTGTTCTTACTCTTGCTATTTCTCTTGGATGGGTTATTCGTCAGTTGGACGTTAAAAATGCCTTTTTGCATGGTCATCTAACTGAGGAGGTATATATGCGTCAACCGCGGGGCTTTATTCATCCCTTATTTCCTAATCATTTATGTCGTTTGCGAAAAGCCATCTATGGGCTCAAGCAAGCCCCGCGGACATGGTTTCATAGGTTTAGTAGCTTTCTACTTTCTCATCATTTCACATGCAGCAAGTCTGATAATTCATTGTTTATTTTTCGTCAGAATAATAATGTCATTTATTTATTACTTTATGTTGATGACATCATTATTACTGGCAATTCTTCTGCGGCTATCACATCTTTTATTCAGCTTGTTGCTCAGCATTTTGCTATGAAGGATCTTGGTGATCTTCATTATTTTTTAGGAGTCCAGGCTGTCCGCTCAGATAAAGGTTTGTTCCTATCCCAGCATAAGTATGTTTCTGATCTTCTATCTCGATTTCATATCCATACTCTCAAGTCTGTCCGCACTCCGCTTGCTACTCGCACATCTTTATCCGTCACTGATGGGGAACTTCTTGCTGATGCTACTGAGTATCGTAGTATGGTTGGTGCATTACAATATTTAACTTTGACACGACCTGACATTACCTATGTTGTGCATTTAGTATCTCAGTTTATGCATGCTCCTCGTACTACTCATCTTTTTGCTGTCAAGAGAATTTTTAGATACTTGCAGGGGACAATTGAGCATGGTTTGTGGCTTCAGCCTACATCTCGAGCTACTTGTGTAATTGCCTACTCTGATGCTGATTGGGCTGGCTGTCCAGATACGTCCCGCTCCACAACTGGTTTTGCAGTTTTCTTGGGCGCGAATCTTATCTCCTGGAAGTCCAAAAAGCACCCTACTGTCTCCAAATCCTCTACAGAAGCTGAATACAGGGCCATTGCTTACACTGTTCAGGATACCCTGCATATACGTTCCATATTGTTTGAGCTCGGCTATCCCATTACTACGCCGGTCCAGCTTTTTTGTGATAATATTTCTGCTTCTTATCTCACTGCTAATCCAGTTCAGCATGCTCGTAGCAAGCACATTCAGATTGACTATCACTTTGTCAGGGAGCGTGTGGCTCATGGAGATCTAATTGTGAAGTACATCCCTACTCAGTTACAGTTAGCTGACATTTTTACTAAAAGTCTTTCTAGTCAGCAATTTCATTTTTTAAAAGACAACATGCGCGTTGTATCTCCCGCACAGTTTGAGGGGGTGTAATAGAATATTATTAGGAAGATTTGTTTCCTAGAATATTATTAGGAAGATTTGTTTCCTATTTTGTATTAAACTCTTTTATTATAAATAGACATCCAGGGCTCCTATTGGAGTACCTTTCCCCGTTATTTCACAATTTAGTGTAATAACCAATGAAACATCAGTGAATGATGAAGCTATTGTATAACTACAAATTGTGACGAAACACATTGACATTAACATATTCTATGAAACACTCGACATTTATTGATGTCAATAATGATCAAGTTTTGTGTCCATTTTTTAATTATTCAAATTTATGCACTCTATATCATATTGAATAAGGCTTTGTGCATGTCATTGTAGTAGTATTGTACTAGTTCTTACATTTGCATTGAAAGATCAAATAATGAAGTCATCAGAGTGTTTAGTCCAATATGACCTTGACTAACTTGTATTATATACTCCCTCCGTCCCGCAATTAAGTTACCGTCATCGGAGTATACATCTTTTAGTTTTTGTGAGCGTTAAAACATTTAACAAAAGATATGTGTTTCATTGATTGGGAATTTTGAGGAGAGTCCCGCGATGTTTTTATTAGATTAAAATTTTCTGATCTAGTTTCATAAATATAATTTTATTTGTGTTTAAAACGTGATTTGATATTGTCTAACGTGATCTATCTAAATGAATGTGATCTAATACTTAAATTAATTCAATTAAAAGCTTCACTAGATCTCCACGGGGCCTTGAATATGTCCGACCGGGACATCATATCTAGCAAAGATATACGTAGTATATACTTGCATTTTTCATTTTAATACTTTACGGGTCATTGCGAGTCATTTTAAGTATGAACCGAGTCATTTATGAAATTTGACCTAAACATGAAAACGTTTAAAGGAAAACCAATAATGTTAAACTCTTAAACTCTTGTAAAAGTGGAAAAGTCTTCTTACAATTTTCTATTTACATGTGTCCACCTTTTCTAAAACCACAAACTTTTAAGACGGTATGTTTACTTAATAACAACAATAATATATACGTAGTATGTGTTAATTTACATGTACTTTCCTCCTTATCACATAATATCTTACTTTTATTTTCGTACCGCATGTGTTTCAATTCTATTTTTCGAAATGGAGTCACCTAAAAAGCCGCAACAATACACCGTAATAAAGTAAATAGTACCGTTAAATATCAAAAATCTCACACTTTTTAAAAAAATGTACAATGAAGTTATACACTATTTTAAATTGTGTGGAAAGTCCACCCTGTAACTTATTTTGATCGAGAGGGAGTATAGAGGATGGTTTTATTGACTGTTTTCAGTCTCAGACTAGATCAGATTTAAAAATAGACCAGATCAGATTAGATCCGACTTAAACAGAATAGATCTGATCAAACTGAACTTCTATAGTTATACACGTAAAATACACAAAAATCAAACATTTACCGAATTGGACCCGACTTAAACAACACAACACAATTTAAATATCACATCCGTTTGCGGCTTCAATTGGTACGACCTTTTTCACAAATTTTCAAACCCCTTTCTATTATCTCTCTATATATAGCCCCACCACCTTCTCTATCCTCTCGTGCTCTTCCAATCCAGCTCCAATTCTCTCTCGATCTCTAAACTTCCATCGTCAACCAATCAATATAAAATACCCTTAGTCATATCATCATATCACTCCATTAGTTACATATAAATATAATCTATTATACTAATACTGTAATAATTGACTAGCTAGTATATGGATCTCGTCAAGAACGGCGGTGGCCTTCCCGGCTCCGATGACGACGCCGATCTCCGGCGAGGCCCTTGGACCGTCGAGGAAGACTTTGCCCTCATCAACTACGTCGCCCACCACGGCGAAGGCCGCTGGAACTCCCTCGCTCGCTCCGCCGGTGCGTTTCAACTTTTATTACGTGCCTTAAATTAGTAGTATTCTTAGCTGATAATTAAGTAATTGCTATTTAAAATGGGTACATATTTATTGTTTTATTAATTAAAAAGTACTTCGTGGACCAATCATATTCGAATCTATCATGTGATATGGTTTGGGTTCCTTTCCGTACGTGGAAATCTATGTGAAGGAATGAAACTTAATTATCCCATAAAGTAAGTTATGGGAAGGGGTCCAAATTTAAATAAAATGGCACAATTTCGACCCCAACATAGAAAACAACTAGGAAAGTGGTAAAGTGAAATTTGGTACTTTTGGAGCATTTCGCACTTTGCCACTTGGCTTTATTTTTTAGAGTTTCAACTTTCAACTAATTTGTTATGTTTGGTATGTATGGGTGAATATAATGTTACGTAAATAAATGAGGAAGTACTAAAATATACTTCCTCTCCTTCCTAAAAATTCTTCTTTTTTTCTTTTTGAAAGATTTTGTGTGACTAAAATTCATTTACATTTTTCTTACTCAATCACAAACGTACATTTTCACTTTCTTAATTGCGTGCCAAATCTAACTGGAAAGTTTTTTTGGGGCGGAGGGAGGATTTGATTAGTTCAAGTAATTATATCATTATTCTCATCACTTATTAATTTTTAAATGGTGTAATTGTAATATTTTAATGTGACTAAATAGCCAAGTCATTATAGAATTTGCCTTGTGCATGCATATGCTAATCTACCTTTATAAATAGGTCTGAAACGCACCGGAAAAAGTTGCAGGTTACGATGGCTCAATTATCTCCGACCCGACGTCCGTCGTGGAAACATCACCCTTGAAGAACAAATCCTCATTCTCGAACTTCATTCTCGTTGGGGCAATAGGTGATGAGTATTTTCAAGCAAACCTTGTTACAATAACGAGTTGAGAATTGAGTAATGTTATAGTGTTTTATTATTTTATAGTTTTAATTGCCGGATGTTTGTCCAATTTGGGTCAGAATTGAGTAACGTTAATTCATTGAAGATGAACAATGCTTTCATGCTTTGATGATAATTAGGTGGTCGAAAATTGCACAACATTTGCCGGGGAGGACCGATAATGAGATAAAGAATTACTGGAGGACTAGAGTGCAAAAGCACGCCAAGCAGCTAAAATGTGACGTGAACAGCAAGCAATTCAAGGACACCATGCGCTACCTATGGATGCCGCGGCTGATGGAGAGGATTCAGGCTACGGCCGCCGCCACGTCCTCTTCCACCACCACCTCAACCGCCACCGACAGCGTCATTCCGGCCACCTACCACCCAATCCACGACCACGTCCAAAGCACGGACATCTCCACCACGTCGAGCCACGTGTCCGACGTGGCGGACTACAACGACTGCATGAACTTCACAGCGGCGGAGAACTCGAGCACCACCTCCGACTCCTTCGGCACACAATTCTCGCCGGTTTCCGACGGCTGTTACAATAATATCCCCATTCCTAACCATGGTCATGAGTTTGGTTATGGCGGTCAAACCTTATCCAACCCGACCGCCGGTTACTTTAACCATGGTCCGGAGTTGGAACAAAGCATGGAACAAAACACCAACCAATGGATGAACGGTGGGGATGTGTCCGACAACCTATGGAGCGTCGAAGATATGTGGCTCCTCCAACAAAGATTCAACTATCTTTCCTAAAAGAACAAATAAAAAATATACAAATATATATTATGGAATGTTTGGAATGTAGAATTTATTTTTTTACAGTAGAGAAATTGAATTTGATTTAATTAATTAAATCAGATATAGTTGACAGCGAGGAAAGAAAAAGCAACAAGAAATATTATAGTATGGTCAATTGGGACACATGCTAATTTCAGCTTAATGAGTTGCAGCTGTATAATTATTGTGATTTGTGATAAAATTTTCCTTTTTGTTAGTGTTTGGGTATGTGGATTAGTGATGGAGATCGATGTATAAGTATGATTGTAACCTCGTGATGAGTCTTTAATTATGGTCTTGATGAGGAATTGTGTTTTGACTTTGCTAATTGTAGCTCTAATTAACATTAGGATTAAGCTAACTAAAGTAACTAGGTTGAATTTATCCATTCAAAGAAAAGATTTTTTTTACAACGTCATATAGGGTGTACAAATTCGACTCCAATCGTAGTAGTTCTTGGACAAGATCACTTAGCTTCTAATCATTCCTAATTCCTATCATCATTATTGGCGATCTAAGACAACTCTATCATTATATATACTCTATCATTAGTATTATTATTTAATACTAAGGATGTTATTAATTCTTAATTGAATTAGTTTTAGTTTGAGACCAAACTACGACAGTTGTAAATTACATGCAAAACAAATATCTATCAAATTAAATCAACTTAGATCAGATCAAACATGATCAGAAAATTTTAATCCAATTAAAAAATAACTAATTGAGTACTATAAAAATCATTTTAATCGTCACTCAAGCACCAAAATGATAAAAGTACGTAACACTTGTTTCTAGCTGAAAAGATACTTTTGTGAGCTTTTTAATAACTGATAGCTTTTAGTAACTGAAAACATTTTAAAGAGAAAAGGTGGTTGTTGTTTGGTAAAATGCCTACTGTTTGATTTAGTTTGATTTGAGCTATGTTTGGCAAGCCATTTCAGCTCATAATGAGCTCATTTTTTTAAAATTCAGTCAATAATCATAAGAGTAATCTTGTTTGGATGAAAGGATGTACGGAGCTAAAGCTGAAAAAGAGGGTCTGAATTAAAACGTTAGCAAAGCTAACGTCTGGATTCAGCCCATTATATAATCCATTTTCCTTCCTAAATTAACCCTTCTCTTTTTTCGCTGCACTTGTCACCCCTTCACCGCAAAACACCTCGTTCTTCATTGAATTGCGCTCATTCCTTCTGTTGTACATAGTATAATTTTTCTTCCCCTTTCAATACTTGTAGCGAGGTAAGGTACAAAAATTTAAATCTATATAGTAGAGCCTGCCCTCGTAAGGTATATTCACGACTCTCTATTACATTGCATCTCCGGATCTCCCTAGTAGCTGTGTTGAATCCACGAAGAGTTCTCTGCATAAAAATGACAGACAAGGCCGTGACTGTAAGAATTATGAAGTTCACGACCATCTGCCTTTTCTAGAGGAATCAATCTGGTCGCCTGGTCTGAAGGAGAATTTTTCAATGATGTATGAGGATAACTGCTTTAGGATACCCGGCCAACCAGGGTGGATCCAGGAATGAAGAGTGGGGTGGGCTTAGCAGGAAAAAAATTGTTATTGCAAACAAAAAGTTTAGCTTAGGCTGCTTAGGGCCGTAATCGAATTAAGTTTTTTTCGAACTACGTGAATTCGAGCGTGATTTCGAATTTAATTTAGCGATCTGAGCTTAAGAAGCTTTTTTTTAACTCGAACACGAGCTAGATTTTGAGTTCGAATAGTTGTTCAAGCTGAGTTCGAGCATAGTGGTATTCAGTTTGATCCGGACTCGAGTCTATCAATAACTCGTAAATTATAGGAATAAATTTTATTTATCTTAAAATTTAAACATTTTCATTGCAATTTTTTAAATATATTTGAACACTAAAAAAATAGAGTTCATATATCTATTTTATTCAAGCCGAGTTTGAGCATAAATTAAATTAATAATCAAATAGAATTACATAACTATTAAATAAAACTAATGCACAAAATAATAGATTAAAAGAGTATAAGAGTATGTGTGGATGGCTGGACAACTAGACTCGGCTAGAGGCAGCTAGTCGGACTCGAATAGACTAGAGGGGCAGGCCTCTTGCATAATTCGCAGCTGGCTCCAAACACCAACTACATACGATTGTTTAATACTTCGTATGTAAAGTTTTGCTCCTCAATTTATCCCACACCGACTGCAAGGATGGTTCACCCTCCTTAGTGTCCTATATATAAATCACTTCTTGGTGCAATCACACCAAGCTCTATTATTACGCATCGGGATCATTTGTTCTCGGGATCATTTGTTCCCATGACTATGGGCTTTAAACAAAGTTTGGGCAGCCTTTTGCTTTTAGAGCTTCTTAGAACACTTCCTTGTAGACTTGGGGTGGGCTGAGTTTTAATTTTTGGGTGGGCTGAAAATTAAATCTCTTTCTATACTAACAAAAAAAATTGGGTTGGGCTGGGCTAGAGCCCACCCTAGGCCCTACCTAGATCCGCCCATGCGGCCAACTCACTCACTATTTTAAAACAATGAAAAAACCGAACAAGGCAATATGATAAACTCATACTCGTACTACATAATTATTATACAACATAAAGATGATGCCACTGTCATTTTCTATTTTATACTTCGTATATATCAATATTTTGTTTTATTAGAAAATTATATGTCCTTTAATGTAATTTCATATTATCCTAAAAAAATTCAGCTCTTTTTACCAAACGGATCTACCCGATTAGGTTACCAGTTCAGATTCAGCACTTCAAAGTTCAGTTCCAGACAATAGTTTTTAATTCAGACAATAGCCCCTAATTCAGACATTAGCCTCCAGTTTCAGCTCGTTGTGCCAAACATAGCCTTGGTATACAAGCTGTTAGGACTAATTAATACTAAAAGTCACGAGCTTTTTTCAGATGTTACTCCCTGTATCATCTCAAAAAAGATCTTTTAATTTTTGAAAAGCTCTGAAAAATTGTCATGCCAAACATATAACTAGAAGCTGTTAGAGACTTTTTTGAATAATACAAAAGTTAGAAGGTAGAGACTTATGCCTGTCAAACATAGACTAGGACGAAACATAGCCTAGGACGGTGTGAATATGTTCTAAAGGTGCTTCTGGATACGGGGAAGAGAAGCTAGTTAATTAATCTAACAATGATTTAACAACGTGGCATTTTATTATCTATATACTACGTATTTGTCATTTGTGTTGTGAATAAGACTATTTAAGTGTGGTTTCTTTAGAGTTCTAAATTTGTGCGACCTGAATTTCGAGTGATTCAAATATCACAATTTGAGGTCAACTCATTATACTGGACAAAATGAAATAATTGTGGTTATACGGAGTCATAGGTTTGCTCATTCCCATCGGTGATCTTTAAATAATTTAAATATATTTGTGTTTCGAATTCCAATTCCTTGCAACAAATACATTAGTTATTATGATTAAAACGTGTAGTCCCTGTTGCATTAATCTTCCAAATAGATTAGACGAATGAAAATTGTATGATAGAAAGTTATGGAGAGAAGGTATATATAGTAATGATATAAAACGTGAACTGTGATATGAACTATGAAGATTATTTTGAAATGGATCAAAATAGAAAGTAATACTAAAATTCTGTAAATAGATTGAATATATCTAAATCAATAAAGTTGTGTCTCGATTAACTGAATTATGAAAAAACTATATTAAAAATATATTCTATTAATGAAATAAGAATAAACTTTTCCTTAAAAAGCTAAGATAGTCTTCTTCATCAAATTTGACCAGATCCAGTCACAAAGTAACTATAGATATATTTATATTTTGACCATTACATATTTCACTTGCACAAAATAACAAGTTTAATGTTTGATAAAAATTGACCGATATGGATGATAAGCTTAAAAATAGGTTATCATTAACCATCCTCATCTCATAAGCCAACCTTGTCGTTCTGAACAAATGCAGTGTTGTTGAAGATATTGTTTTACATGAGAAAGTATAAATATCTAAGATCTTTAACTATACCTCCACTACAAAAAAACTCGCGTTTTATCACGGATTTTTGTTACGGATTACGGCCGTGACAAAGTTGTCACGGGCTTTGTCACGGAATATTGGGATTTGTCACAAAAACGTGGTGTCACGGATAGGTCCGTGACAAAATCCGTGACAAAGAATTGTCACGGAATTTATCTGTGACAAATTTACTCTGGCGACCGGGTTTTTACTCCGGCGAAAACTTTTTTTGCTCCCGGGCATTTGTCACGGACATATCCGTGACAAATCCGTGACAAATTTTAATTTTTTTTTGTCACGGATGGATCCGTGACAAAATCCGTGACAAACCTCAATTATTGATTTTCAAACGACAACCTTTAATAATACAGTACGAAAAAGGGGTTGTCACGGATAAATCCGTGACAAATCCGTGACAAATTTTTTTATATAACCCAACCCCATCGTCCATTACAATTGCAAGAACAACACTTATCAGTTCAAAAATTCGTAGATTCGAGTGATGTAGTATCGGTTTAAAGATTGAATGATGTAATCCGTCAGTTCATCATTTTCCCATTTTATGCAGATAAGGTATGTCATTTTAACTAATTTCTTTTAATTATATAATAAATTATTAGCTTAGTGAGGTTAGTTGTTCATTTATTTAAACTATTAACGTAATTTAGTGAGGTCATGTTAATTTTCATATTATTAACAATATATTATTAAACTATTAACGTAATTTAATTAGTTAAATTTAAATATAAATATTAATTAGTTAATTGAAATGATTTTATATCACCAATGATTAGTCCGGTTTGTTTATTAGCAATTATTGTTATTAATGCATAATTTAGGATGTGTAGTGATTTAAGTATTAGCTAGCTTATTATAGATTAATTAGTGACTTGTAGTGATTTAATTAAGTTAGCTAGCTAGGTTATTATCATCAATTATTGTTTATTAGCAATTATTGTTAATGGGATGCATAATATAGGATTGAAACTTTATTATTAATTAGTTTAGTGTGAATTATTATTGTGAATTAATGAGATAATATTTAACAATAATATTAGTTAAATGTAAATTAATTAACTAAGTTAAAACATTGAGGAAATGGGTTTAGAATTTGAGTTGATAATATTAGTTAGATTTAAATATTAGTTAATTGAAATGTGTTTATAACCAATGATGATGATTAGGTTTAATTTGTTTATTAACAATAATTATTGTAAATGCATAATTTAGGATTTGTAGTGATTTAAGTTAGGATTCAAACTTTATTAGTTAAGTGTGAATTATATATTATTTAAGTGGAGGAATGTTACCGCGTGACCATAATCTTCCTGATTC